CCAACGAAACTATCTATTATAGTGGACATTTTATTCAGTAATATGATTTTACGATCGAGCGTTCAGAACGAAATGTAACAAATCGTTTATTTTGCTATTTTCGCGACGCATCGGCAAAGGCTTCGGTTGTTGAATTACCACCGGCCATCGAACGTCGAGAAAGCGCGGTTGGCACGTTTTATCTCTTTCACACCCACCTACACATACATTGCTTTTGCATTTGACCTATGACCTCTATTACCTTCGGATAAATGTGATATTATAGGTGATAATAAGGAAATTTCATTGCAATATAAATCTTCTTAACACTAACATCTCGATAATAGAACAAAGGAAACAAGAACACAAAACAAGATAATCAAGCTTTCTCGTGAAACGACCATCGTTTCCATGTCCATTTTTCAATTAAACACGTCGTTAAACACTCTATTGAAGCCGCTATTCAAATAGAGTGTTTCAAAATTCGATGGATAGTTTCGTTTCGTTAAGCAAAACAGCCGCCACTACCCACCGCTTCTACTAAGAGGCAGTGTTTCCACTATCAGGTTTTAATATAGCCCTAGATTTTGGACAATTGCCCTAAAATACCTCAATTTAGTCTCCGAAAATTGAGGTATTTAGGGCAATTGTCTTGCTCTAAATACCAAAATTTTCTTCATTTAGGGTGTCAAATTGGAAGTTAGAAATAAAACAAAAACATTATCTTTTTATTTTTTTATTTTAATAAAGTGATTTTCTACGAATACAAATCGATTATTAGGTACTTAGATATGATGCTGATGCTCAAGCTGAAGTACTAACGTGGCTTTTTTAGTTGCAGTCATAGCATTGTTGGAGCTAGTCTATCATGCCGAGTTTGGTGTGCAACAAGCCATGGAGGGTTTAATTATAGGTTTATTTCTTTTGTCGGATTTTACGTTTTTAATACAATGAATAATCTTTCCATCTGAGCGTTTGACGACGGCAGTGCTAACAAAAGTCAAATCACACCTTCAAGGTTTTGGTGTCTGTTATTTTTGTGATGATCTTTCAAACTCTTCACTTTATTCCAGTATACTTTTGCTAATTACGAGATATGTGCGGGAATGTGCGTGTTATTGGTTAATAATTTACTAGTTACTTATGCCTGATAATCTTGCAATGTGACTCACAGAATGTGCCGAAGGTGCCTATCGGGTTCAATAATTAAAATCTCAAATGTCACTGATGTTGTATTCAGAAATCGCAATTTTACTGGTTAAGATATATGTTAGTGGCGATACAATAATAATTCCTATTTGATAGCGACCTAGCGTGGGCAGTGACGGGGAACGATTGGCGGTCACCGCTGAGCGCACTCCGGACACAAGTGCAGTGTCAATTCAGCAAAATGTATGTAACTACTGTGTCCCTACATTTTCCTTACTTTATACTTCGAAATGATTCGCTTTAAAGAGGGCTTGTTGTCGCCATTCATTGTCTGACAAAAAACAGAACATATTCTTAAAAAAATGACATTCCGACTCTCCGTTTTTGGATCTACATAATATTTTATCATATTGAAAACATTTTCATCTAAGTGAAATCTGGTTTGCATCTGTGAAATAATTTCTATGTATAATTCTCGAAAACTTGAGTAAAATCAGTCAATTTCTTTTATTTTTGTTTTTTTGTTCATATCTTCCAGCATGTAATAAACATCCAGGCCAATATAAATGTGATCATTATGCAACAGGTGTTCAGTTTTGTCGACATAAGCGCATCTGTCGCACCACTTCTGAGGGAACTCGCGCGATCGCGGCACGTGTGACTAAATTGACGATTTCTCTAAAGTTTTGTATAAGAGCTATATATAAAACTTACGTGGTTGGAATTGTTATGAAATAAGCTATCAAATTACATATGAATGAGGACAGTTTTATTATATAATATATTGTCAATTTTTTTATCAACAAAAAAATTTTTGTAAGCGAATTTTTCCTACTTCATTGTACTTAAGTCATTAAAATTATAAAATCAAACCTTTATTTAATTTAATTTAATTGATCCCAAAAACACTTTATATAAAACAAAACCTTATAAAATTTATATAATTAAGACTTAATCCAACTCAATACTATAATTATGGTATCTTTAGCGACTGTGCTAGGTCACAGACCTGTGTTACAGCTGCTAAGCTCTCCCCTTTTAATACATTCGAAATAGAATAACAAAATCATAAAAAACACGCTTTATACGATGATTCATAAACGATGTAAAGTGGGTAGACGTAAAACAATTAGTTAAGTAAAAAATCCGACAAATGGTTCAATAACATTATGGCTATATGTACTAAAAGATTAGTTGTGTGTTACAAGAGCAAGGCAGAAGCGATATGTTATAAATATATCACACACTTATTGATATTCAAATATTATAGCAAACTTTTACAAGAACTTATTCTAGATTCCACATAAAAATAATTGTTACAACTAGTGAGTAGTGACTCAAATAATATTACATTTCCTTAAAAAAAAAAAAAACAAAAGGATAATAAGTAAAATGTTAGTATGTAATAATTTATTAATCCTAACCAATATTATTAGCTTAAACTATGTGTAAAACTAATAGGTAGATGCGAGTGTGTAGTAAATAAGTGTGTGTGTTTGTGAGTATGTAATTACGTGTGTGTGTATATGTGTGTATGTGTATGTGCGTGTGAGAAAGAAAGAGTGAGTGTGTGATATTTCCTTAAGAGTTTGTGTTTTAACTATCTATATTTAATAATTTTTCAGTTTCCTCATAAGATAAAGACATTAAAAACTTAGTTAGAGCTTGCTTACATTTAAAACGCGTTAGCGTATATATCGTTATAATATTGCTAATTTTTTTATAAAGGTAAGGACCCAAAAAGTTTATTTGTCTTTGAGCATAAGACGAGTCCCGTCCCAATCAGCTGACCTATAGTGCCAAACACGGCGGCAAGCTGCAGATCGCAACTGCATTTGGAGCGTGAGTGGCACCGTACTCCGGATCAGGCAATGGTCTGAAGAGCCCAGAGGGGCATCGACGGAGACCTGATATCCGTCCGGATGAGAGGTCAGCAGAAGGTCCAACAGGGAAGGTACATGGTCTTCCACATCTGGGATCCGCGTAGGCGAAGTAACCATTTGTGTTAGACCATATGCCAAAGCAAAGTCGTAGACAGATCTACCCGCATGATCGGTTAAACGAGAACCAAGCCATTTAGCGTGGTGGGCGTTGAAATCACCGAGTATCACGATCTCTGCGGATGGGACCTGTTGTAGCACGGAGTCTGCAGCCATTTGGACGTGGTCGATGAGTCGGTCTGTGTCGGCATTACCACTATGGGACCTATAGAGGCACCCGTAGACGCGGGGATGGTCGTCGCTGTCTACGCGCAGCCATAGGATGGACAGGTCCGTACCTTCAAGGCTGCCGAGGCGTCGAAAACAGATGTCCTCTCTGACGTATACACAAACTCCAGCCCGGGGCACAAAGTAGAGATGAGACATACTTGCAAAATTTAATACCAGGGCTTCTAAGTACGAGTATGGGAAAATACCAGGGTCGGAAACCAGGTTTTAAAAATACTTGAAAGTAAAGTCATAGATTTTAGGCCCGCCACATACATACGGAATTCCGTTTAGAGATTCCGTTTCGGAATTCCGAACGGTAGGCCACACACAAACGAAATTCCGTTTTTCCCGCAAAATATCGAACGGAAAACTACCGTACGTGTGTGGCGGGTCATAGATTTTATATGAACTTGCTGCGTTCGGAATTCCGAATCGGAATATCGAAACGGAATCTCGAAACGGAATTCCGTATGTATGTGGCCGGCCTTATATGGACTTGCTGCGTTCGGGATTCCGAATCGGAATATCGAAACGGAATCCCGAAACGGAATTCCGTATGTATGTGGCCGGCCTTAAAGTTTTAAAACTGTCTCTAAATTCAATATACACGCGAAATAACTATTTAAAAATTAGGTCACGGTCAGTAGGTTACGTAATCAGTTCACAATAACAATTGAATTTACAAGAAATCGAAACAAAACTTTTACTTCCTCGAATATAAACATAATTCTTATTACTTACAAGGTACTTACGCGACGTGTCCAGCCGCGGTGTCAGTTTGAAAATACTTGCAAAGAGTATAGTAATATATAAGGAAGAATACTTGCATAGGATTTCGACCCGCTTTCCATGTTAGGCTATTATGACTAAGGAGCAAAGTCGTATAAATAAAAAAAATACTTTGAAGTTCAAAGTATTTTTCATTCACAAATACGATTGAGTTTCTTATTACTATTGAGATATGGATCATTTTCCTATGCAAATATTCTCATACTTGCAAGTAGTTTTTGGTCGTAAAAGGGCGCCGTACTTTAAAGTTAAAACCTGGTAGCGTAAATACGGTCTCATTGCGACGCGAGGGATGTGTCCAGCCGTGGTGTCAAAATTTGAAAATACTTGCATAGGAATTTCACCCGTATTCCATGTTATCCTACTATGAATAAGGAGCAAAGTCGTATAAATAAAAAAAATACTTTGAAGTTCTAAGTATTTTTCGTTCACAAATACGATTGAGTTCCTTACTACTATTGAAATATGGATAATTTTCCTATGTAAGTATTTTCATACTTGCAAGTATTTTTTGCTCGTACCAGGGCGCCGTACTTTGAAGTGAATACCTGGTTTTAAAACCTGGTAGCGTAAATACGTCTCATCTTTATTGACGATTTTACCTGGCATTGTATTTGGACTACGAACCTTACACGAACGACGACCCTTGCTTTCATATACGGACCTTTTTTTTATTTGAGATGGCAGACAACAACCCTCAGCCGTTAACTAGTGCCGTTTGTGACGCGCGCGCTTCATCATCAACCGAGACTGAGGCTGTTTATACCGACGGAGTATACGAGCATAGGAGGTTGCACGCGGAAGAATTAATAAAAATGCCGAAAGCAATGTGTGGAGTTCGCAGAAGAACATGGCCTGATCCCTAAAAATAAAATGTGCCGCCATCATCGCATCCCGATGCGAATTTCATATGGGAATTGTAAGAATGTTGGCCAATTTATATGCACTAAAGGCAACTGTCGGGCACGCTCGAAAGTTTCTCGAGCTAAGGACACGTGGTTCGAAAACGTGAAGTTATCGATGCTGCGTGTCTACTTCTTAATGTACGCCTTTGCCCACCGATGGTCATATGACAATGTAATATTTGAGGATCCGGAGAGAGATACGGAAGGCTGCCTCTCAATGGCAACAATAGCCGACTGGTATAGCTACTGTCGTGAGACAGTAGTTATATACCAGATAAATGTACAAAAAAATATAGGTAAAATTGGTGGCCCTGGCAAGGTGGTCCAAATCGATGAAAGCAAATTTGGAAAGAGAAAATATAACAAAGGTATTTATATTTTTTAATGGTCTTTTAAGTTGGTTAAGTTTTTTGATATCATGTTTGACAGCCCGATTCAGAGCAAACCGACTCGGACAGATTAGGTTAGAAGGTTAAGGCGGGAGCTTAGCTCCCGCCTTAGCCTTCGTGGTTATTTTTTTTAACCACCCAGAAATACTGGCAGCAGTCAATTACATAGCAGGAGTCAATTGACCTAGCTTGGTAGGTAAACAATATATATTGATATACAAAATGTTTAAGGCGAAACCGAGTTCATGGAGACGGATATTATTTATATTCGAATTGTTTTTTAAATAATATTTTTGTGATTTGTTCTAGGACGACACATTGAAGGCCATTGGGTCCTTGGACTTATTGAAGATGGGAGTGAAGACCTTCGGCTAGAAGTTTGCCCGGAGAATGTGCGCTCAGCAGAAGTGTTGGTGCCCCTGATCCAGAAGCATGTGATTGAGGGGTCAATTATACATACGGACTGCTGGCGTGCATATGATTGTCTGGGTTCTTATGGATACATCCATAAAAAGGTGAATCACTCGGACCCAGACAATCCTTTTGTTGCTCCAGATGGAACTCATACACAAAGGATTGAGGCACAGTGGCGTGTCGTAAAAAAGTATTATAAACATAACATAAATAACCCTAAAGATTTTTCCGATAGTATTGTAGAATATATGTGGAGACGAAGAATACAAAGAAATAAAAAAGATTTATTTTTATCACTTATAGAGGCCATAAACTTTGTTTATAAATTTAAATAAAGAATTTATTTTTACTCTTTTGTTTAATTTGTGCCTACATAGTTCTCTATGTAATATATAACATATACATATATCTAGGAAGTATAGTGGATATAGTACAGAGACTGATTTTGTAGTTAAGAACAATAATTAATTCGTTTACACGAATTAATTATCCAACGAGTCGAGGATAAACTAGTAACGGAATACGACAAGCGCACCGTTCCACGTCAGAGCCAAGACTGCCTTAACGGCGGCCGCTACGTCCGTTTTATACAAGCAGGACGGGCGGCAACGCAGGTGCAATGCCGCAGGTGTGCGGTACACGTGTCGTTTACAAGAATTCTGTTTAGCCAGACCGACGCCACCGCACCTACAACGGTGCAGGTGCCGTTACGGCCATACTAACATGCGTGCGTCCTCACACGCGCTCCATCACAATTTTAGTTATCTGTAGACAAAAAAAACATCGTTCGACTATCCTGACATAACAGCGTCTGGTCCGGTCTATATTGACCCTTCAGACTTGGGTGACAGTCAGTTTTGTTCCGGCAGTAAGCTCTACAAAACTTTAATCATCTTTATGTTATATCGGAATGATTAGTCTGTGGCTTTTTCTATTTTCTCTTTTTTTTTTTCAAGTACTGTTTTGGCTAGTCCGGAATCACTATTCCCTATAGCTATATCACTGGACCGGCACAAAGCCCTGCAATGATTGTAAGAACTATTCTTTTTTCTTAACCTCTTTTTTTTTCAGTACTATTTATGCTAGTCCGGAATCACTATTCCCTGTAGCTATATCATTGGACCGGCAAACGCCCTGCAATGATAGTAAGAACCACATTTTTTTTCTTACTCTCTTTTTTTCAATTCAGTATAGAACAGTTACAGACCAACCATACCGCAAACATGTCCCCGTTACAATCACACAAAAGTGTATCGTGAGGGAAGTAGTGACACGATAACACCTAAGTATGTAAACCAACAGCAACATGACACATATCCCAGTGCAGCACAGACCAGCCTCCCTGCAACTTGCATGATCCTTTCCTGCACTAGAATAATTACTTCGCTAGAGTGTTGCAACGTCTCTAGTATATTCTCGATGCACAGACACGGCTACCTCTGACTGTCGCACGTCCTCGTAAGGTTGACAGTGAACAGCATACGGTCTATCAGTTATCACCACCTGCTAACAGATATTATCTCTTGTTAAATATTACAACGTTGGACCATCCCAGACTTCATTTCAGTCTGGAACGCGCCGATATGGCTACCTCCAGGCAAACGCACTACAGCTTTTCGTTCTGCTGCGTTCGTACCACATTCGCGCCAGCAAGCCGTCGCGCCGTACTAGCGCTAGCGAATCGTCGCACTGCTCTGCAAAATTAAAAGAAATCGAGATAAATGTATTGCGAACCATGGAATTCCGAGCTTCCAAAATTCATCACATATTCTCTTAAGAAACGGCAACTGTATGACATTTGAAAACATTTCAAAAAACGGAAACTATGTGTAGAGACGGATACCATTACATATTTCAAAGGGAAGGAGGCAATTCCGCAAAATCTACGAAAGCCGACCAAGCCTCAGACGTTCATTTACAGCACCAAAGGACCATGTGTTCGGCGGCCGCTTGAATTGCCTTGCCGTAAGATCTGCTGATAAGTTACAGACTGTAACGGTGTAGGCTCAATCCTACTAGCGCTCGGCCATACCTGACCATGTTCGATTAGCCGTCACAACATCTTCCTCATTGATCATTGTTGTAGAGACTTCTACGAATCTCTCGACATCAAACCCCAATCTTGTCGACCACACAGTATTCGGAGCAAACTGCAACACTGATCAACACATTAGAACACAAAAATGTCACTTATTATTTTCAATTCCTAGCATGTTAAAGTTAATCCTTTATTTTGGTACATCGCTTAAACGTTTTGAATTTCAAAATATAACAGAAGATAATCATGTTTCGCATGAACTATCAAATTACAACAAAACTTGAACACGTTAATTTTTCATTCAATGCAAACTATGACTCGTCTAGAAAGCCTCAGACATTTCTTTCATTTGTTAACATATTTAGGTACGTCAGAGATAATGACAATACTTGAGGGTACTTTTAATACAAATCGAACAAAAGGATTTATCTTTTGGCTTAAATAATTTCACTTTATCTTTTCTCTACACTTTAATGATACGACAATATCGTAAGTAGGACAGCAAATTTTATTACGGTATTTAACATAAAAAGAGATCCATCAATGCGAAATGCATTATAGCCTTTACAAATGTAATAATTCTCATACTATTCGAAGATTATATGTGGGCAATAAGGGGGACTTTATCCCACTTCTGATGTAGGAAGTATAGTGGATATAGTACAGAGACTGATTTTGTAGTTAAGAACAATAATTAATTCGTTTACACGAATTAATTATCCAACGAGTCGAGGATAAACTAGTAACAGAATACGACAAGCGCACCGTTCCACGTCAGAGCCAAGACTGCCTTAACCGCGGCCGCTCCGTCCGTTTTATACAAGCAGGACGGGCGGCAACGCAGGTGCAATGCCGCAGGTGTGCGGTACACGTGTCGTTTACAAGAATTCTGTTTAGCCAGACCAACGCCACCGCACCTACAACGGTGCAGGTGCCGTCATATATATATATGAGTTCAGGCCAGAACAAAACTGGCGACACATCAGGTTTGGTAAGAATTGTGTCCGTTGAATGAAGATCAGCCCCAGAATCGAACCCCTGTAAGTAAGAAGGTCGAATGTAAAGCGTCAGACGGGGTAGAGAGAAGATGAGAGAAGATTAGAGCCTCCTCCCCACTTGATTTAAACAAATACCATATTAAATTAATCAATATCAATATTTTATAGGTTAGGATAGATTTTTTAATATATTTTAGAAACTATACGTTTCCGCATCCCCCCTTTTAGTGGGGGGTTTCACCACTACCCCCCCCCCCTCCCCCCCCCCCCCCCCCCCTCCGCGTGCGACCGTAAACTAAAGCACGACCTTCTTAGTTGATCTGAGATGGAGATAGACTTGTTATTTAGCTAATTAATTTACTTCATGTTGCAGTTGTACTCTGTATACAACTCAAGTACATTTTTAATCAAAGTTAAAGATTCATAGTTATTCAGCAATTTCCGTTGCATACCACTTGAGTAATTAAGTCACTCGAATGGTGCTTAACTTGGTTCATGCAAGATTTGTTTCACAATAAATTTGAGGCTTAACTTAATTAAACATCACACATAACTAATCAGACATTTAATAACACAAAAGTTTTAAGTGTTCAACATTTTGATTAAAAATAATTAAATAAAATACTATTAGAAATAACTTACAGAAACCAAGGATTATAACTTATATAATATAATAATATCAATAAACATTAATTTCTCCCACATTTTACACAGTTACAGTTGTTTCATAAATAGTTTAAGAATGTTTAGTTGTTGCAGTAGACAGGAGCTCAAACTAGAAGATAATATATATATAAAGAAGATACTATGGCTTTGCTTTATCTTGTAGATAGCCCTAGTTAGTGATTTGATGTATTAGTCATGTTCACGTAGTATAGCCACCCTGCAGTTATAATTATGGTTGTAGCATGAATGGGTTGACTCGACCGGTGTAGGACCACGCTCTCACAGAATACCAGCATAAAATAGCAGCTTAATGCTGCTGTGTTTCAAATGGTGAATGTAACTGGAGACTCTTTTTACTGGAAATAAAGCTTTCCATCTTAGTTTTCAGGGGTGGCAATGCATTTGCATTTTGATTCTTAATCGAGGATAAATATACATGTCTATGGGTCATAACACACCATCATGTGGACTGAATGCTTGTTTGTTAGGCTTTCTTACTTTCTATATTAACAAAATTATATATTCTTCTTTTATTTGCGAGTGGGCTAAAAAGACATTTGTTTATTACTTGGTGCATTCCTAAAATTTCCAAAAAAATATTTAGTGTTGTCTATAAACTGTTTTATAATAATAATAAGTAACTTTCAAACCCACCCAAATGGGTTCCTGCCTTGTCGTGGTGGGACTTAGTAGCCTTGGCTTGGTATTGTGTGTGGTTAGTGTGTTCACCCAGTGTGTACAAAGAGGACCACTGATATAGTGAACTAAGAGGAACTAACATGGCTGGCCAGAGGTGGCTGCTCCGAGTGTGTGTGTATTTTGATTATTTGAGCCACCTGAGCTCCTTGAGGGATCTAAATAATTTCTTTATGTTTTATATATATTATATGATGTCTTCATCTAATATTAACAAATTTTTATAATTAGTTATTGAAATAAGAACTTGTTTAGGCACGTTGGGCACTTTTAGGATGTGGAAATAGCACAGATCTTGTGTGACGGTCACGCTCAGATATACAAAAATAATGTTTACAAGTTTGTGAAGCTAAGAAGTTTTCACTACTGACATGCAGTTTTCTGTTTTTTATTAAAAAGGTTACTTTTCAGGGGTGAAAACATTTGGAGAAATAATTCTAAACCCTTTTGGATTTCTCCAAATGTGTTCATTAAACATCACCAGGGGTGTGGATCTTCTAAGGGTGTGGGATTATTTCTTCCTATTTCAAATTATGTGAATAACTTTTTTTTTCAGATGGTCACACACCTAAAAGAGTTAAAAGAGAGTGTACTTATGGAGATAAATGCTACAGATTGAACCCAGCACATTTGAGAGAGTTCAGTCACCCTCACTGTTAGTAGTTGTTCTTTATCTATTTCTTTGGGCCGTAAAGAATTCCGAGAGCCGTGGTAGCTAATTTGTTAATTGCAGTGCTGATTTACCACATGCTTGGCAGTGAAGGAAAACATTGTGAAGAAACCTGCTTGTCTTAAGATTAAAAATATTTTTGTATACATGTGAAGTTAGCACTGAGGTAGCGCGGCAGACTAACTTCCCCATAACACTCTCAAACATGAGAGGTGGACTGTGCTGACAGTGGGACATATATAAGCTGTAATTTTACTTTTCCTTTAA